CAGATACTCTCCCTTGCAGCAGAATGCATTCCTGCTTCTGCTGCTGCTGCAGCTGCTCCGCTCTCAGCTCCAGGCTCCGGTGCAGACTTGCCTTGCTGCTGCCAAGTGACCTGCCACAAGGGAGGGGAGGAGGGGGTTGGTGAGGAAGAAAGAGGGAGAGGGAAGTGAGTACAGGGAAGGGCGTGGTAACTTAAGATGAATCAGAAAGTGGACGAACAGGCATAGCAGCAGGGAGGAAAGGGGCTCACCTTGAACAGCCGAGCCCACCCCAGATACTCTCCCTTGCAGCAGCACTGCTACCGTCCCTCCACTCCACCCCAGCAGGACGGCAACTGGAAGGGAGAAGACGGGGAAGGAGGGAAGGGAGGCTCGGAATGAAGTGCCAGGGACAACAACAGAGGAAATCCAATCAAGCCAAAAGCGGACATGTTAAGAGCCAAGGAGACAGCATGAGCAGAAACAGGTCAGGCAAGTGTAGAGAAAGGGCTTACCTTCAAGGGCGACCACCACCCCCAGATACTCTCCCTCATGGCAGCCCTCCTCCCAGCCCTCCCGAGTGCGTCCCTGTACGGCCACAGGGGAGGGGCGTTGGGGAATGTCCGTGTTGACCCCCCCCCCCCCCCTCCCCAGCACCTGCAATGCACACACACGGCAGTGGTCAGTGTATATGGCAAGGCAGAAAGCTCTAGCCACGGACTGAAAACTGACAAGGCTGCAAGAATAAGGGAAAGGCCACTGGTGGAGCCACGGCCACATGCCACAGACCCCAAAGGGTATACCTGCACCTGAGGGCGGCTGAACCTGAGGGGGACACCTGGACCTGAGGGGTTACCTGAGGTGGGGAGGTCTGTCGTATGTGAGCCAGAACCAACCAGTGGCACGGTTTCAAAGAAAAAGGTGCGAATGCGCATGCGAAAAACAAAATATTAGACATGATGCGGCATGCACGGGTAAGGGCAGGGAACAGCCACTTAGCTCATGAGTCATGGCGTGACGTGAGTGCGAGCAGCAGGCAGCTGAAGCGCCAGCAGGTGACTCCCTTCCACAGCAGCTCTCCTCCCAGCTCCCCCGAGTGCGCCCCTGCACGGCCACAGGGGAGGGGCGTGAGGGAGTGTCGGTGTTGACCCCCCGCCCCTCCTCAGCACCTGCAATGCACACACACGGCAATGGTCAGTGTGCATGGCATGGCAGCAAGCTCTAGCCACCGACCCCAAGCCAAGGCTGCCAAGGCTGCCAAGGCTGGAAGAACAAGGGAGGGGCCACTAGTGGAGCCACGGCCACAAGCCACAGACCCTAAGGGAACCTGCACCTGATGGGGGCTGATCCTGAGAGGGGTACCTGCACCTGAGGGGGTTACCTGAAGTAGGGAGGTCTGTAGCATGTGACTTAGGCCCAACAGTGGCATCGTTTTGAGGGGAAGGGTGTGAAAGAACATGCAAAGCGAAACGGGCAACAGCGACACTGCAAGGCTGGGTCCAGGGAGTGAGGAGCACTCACTGGGTCGGATTGCTGCAGATGAGGGCTGGCAGGAGCGGATGGATGGGGCAGCGGGCATGACGTCCCAGGCGCACAGCGGACTCAAGGCCACAGCAGCGCTGCCACTTGCGCTCCTGCAAAGGGGGGAGGGGAGGGGGGGAGTGGAGGGGTGCAAGTGAGTGGGACAGAAATGCGAGAGTGGAAGGGGATGGCTGTACGCGTGGCGAGATGGAGAACGAGCGGAAGGAGGGCCACCGGTGGAGGCACAGCTGCAAGCCACAGATCCAAGCGAAGATATACCTGCAGTGAGGGCTGTACCTGAAGGCTTAACCTGGGGGGGGCTTTACCGACAGTAAGGGGGATCTGTGGGTTGTAGACTGTACTTCCACCAGCGGCAACATTTGGTGAGGAAAGGAAATGATGGTGAGAACCCAAGGCGAGACGAGGCGTGCAAGGGTGGGCGAATGGAGGAACGACCACTTAGCTGATGCTGCGAGTGCGTCAAGGCGAAGCAGCGTGAGGCGCTTCATTCATGCTGCCGCCAGGTGATTGAGGCACGAGGACGCTGAAGCACCCCCAGCTGCTTGCTTGCTGCTCCGCCTCCGTCTCCCACTTCTCCTTGCAATCAGAGGCCGCGTGACCTGCAAAGGGGACGGGGGGACGGGGGAAGACGGAGAGCGCAAAGTGACGAAAGGGAGCCAAGGCTGAGGCGAGCAGGGAAGCGGCGGCACCTGGTGCGTCCCCTTGAGCAGCGCCAGCACCTGACGAATCACGTGAAGCAGCTCCGGCACCTGGGGGAAGATGGGAAGAGGGAGAGGGGAAGGGGGGGGGAGGTCGCCCATGGCACGCAAGCACGAGCGAGCGGCAGCGAGGGGAGATGGCGAGGAGGAGGAGACTCACGCATGCATGCAGTGACAACTCTAGTTCTAACATAACCTAACCCCCTAGTGACTGGCTGAACTCTATGCAAGCGGCTCAGGCAAGCGCCGTGGCCATGGGCTTCCCGGGAGGATTGGGAGGGGAGGAGGGGTGGGGTGGGAATGAGCAATGGAAGGGGTCGGGTGCATGGAGGCGATGGTGCACGGCCAAAGCAAAACCAAAGCGCATGCAAGGGAATGGTACGAGCCATGCACTTAGCTTCGCAGAAGGCTGTTGAGGTTGTTGGCGGTTGTTGGTCGTCACAGCAAGCGCCAGGCAACGCGACGCACGCTGAGCGCCATGCCTGCATAGAGCCACGCTCGGTCGCCGTGCATGCTGAGCGCCGAGTGTGCTGTCACACATATGCAGGGAGCCACGGGCATGTGACTCAGCTGCTCGCCGCGCTGCATGCTCGGTGGGAGAACGCCTCAATGCTCCACGTCGTTGGCGCATAGAAAACAATTTCTGCACATGATGACACGAAACGTCAGAAACAATCGATTTTGTGAAGAAGATAATGCGAACGACCAAATAAATGATACAGAAAGCTTGACATGCCATCTACTACTTACACACGCAGCATCAGCAAGTCGTCTTGCACGGACGTTGGAAGCACGCCTCAGCGAATCAGCGGATGTCACATAAATTCTGCAATCATTACAGAGAATGTCAGTTTCAGGGATCAGAACTCTACGAAGAGAAAAAAAACGGGCGAATAACCATCGAAACGATGATACTTACAGTGAAGATCATGCTGGGGAAAAAAATATAAAGGCGATGTCGTTTCCCCATGCAGCGTTCGACCATGGCGGATTAGGGTCTTGATGTGGACGAACACCGGGGAGGTGCGTCTTGCACGGACGTTCGAATCACGCCTCAGCGTTTCGGCGAATTCCACATAAATCCTGCATATCGATTTCGGAAATGTCAGTTTCAGGGATCAAATTTCCAGGGGAAAAAACGTGGCGAATAATAATCGAATGACGACACTTACAGCGCGGCTCATGCAGGCAAATATCGATTCCAGGCAATGGCGTTTCCCCATGCAGCGTTCGACCATGGCGGATTCGGACCTTGATTTGGACAAAAACCAGGGACATGCGATTCCGCTACGCGAGCTCAACGCGTCTGAGCTTCAATCTTCATCGACGCGAGCGCACAGCTCGCGGTAGCAGCAGCAGAGGCGAGGTCCAGTGAAAGTTGAATGACGAGAATGAGAGAGATGTCTGAGGAGGCGATGAATGACTGGGCCAAATGGAAATGCGAAATGCGTTGGCTAATGGGAGATGGCTGGGGAAATGGAAACGGAATGTGGAGGGAGAGGTTGGTTCGAGGCTGAACGGGAGGAGTGGGGTCAAAACCGAGATGCGTTGGAGCATCGCCCTTCATTCTTTTCGTTGCTGTTGAAGAAAAGCTGTTGAATCGGGGTCAATGCTTTTAGCTAAGAGGGAGTATCGCTGAAACTTTGAAGGCTTTTCAAAACTCCCTGGGCCAAGGCCAAGGAAATTACTACACGGGAGGGGAGATGACGGTTCAACATTCTCAGCTCGGACGAACGACTGCTACCCAAAAACATAAAATATTCGTCAACGATTTTCGCATCCACGCCCCGCATCGCGGACTCTGGAAGTCGGTGGATGAGGACACGGTGTCGCTCAGAGGGATGTCCGTTGGTTGGGAGAAAACGGAGGGTGTGAGCTACGACCGTCGGATCTTCTTGAAACGAAACAAACAAAGGACCCAGATTGTTGAAGTGAACGTTCAAACGCTATATCCGCGCGGGAACGTCAAACCGACATTTTGGAACGCGGCTCAGCGAATCGTGAGTCTGTGTTGGTTGATCAGCCCATAGGAGCACACCCTACCTAGCCGTTGAAGAGCTGCTGTGGGCCCTGGTCGGATGAGCTTCCCTGCTCATGGACTGTCTTGAAGCTAAGTCGGACGCAAGCGAAGAAAGGCCTGTGGAGGAGAGACAACAGTTTGGTGCTGCGAAATGCGCTTTGCGAAACGCCCTACGGAGTTGTCTCACTGCTGCTCGTGCTAAGCGAACAGGTTTTGTAACCCTGCCTGCTGCTGCTGTGCACAAACGGATATTCCGTAGTGATGGAATTCAGATCGACACGGGGGAACGAGCCACACCGATCTGCAGGCCTGACTTCGGTCAGGCAGGGCATCCGGACCAGACCTCATTTGGTTAGATACAGTATACGTACGAGACATGATTGGTTCCCTCTGGCCCAGACCAACCAGCGACAGCTCTGTTAGCGAACCCTTCCACGCAGACACCTTGAGGTACATCGCTGTAAGTTGTTATAATAATAATAATATAAGATTCTTACAAAATAACCGCTGTTTATAGAATTGTTGGGTGCAGATAATACTTCACTTTCCACACAACAATGCCTAACACATTAGGGAGTACACAGGTACAATGCGTTGGATTTGGAGGAGTGTGACGCTCTGTCTAGTCATGGTGGTCCACCAACTAGTCATTCAAGCCCACCATTTCTCCCTGTGGTCCGCTATCCAGCTCGGCTCGGGTTGACCCTGGGCTGGCTGGTGGTAATGTGGTCGCATGCGTGGGACAAGCTCCAGGCATCAGAACCTCCGAGCATGTCGGCTAGAAAGGCCAGGAAAGTGTTCTCGAGCATACCGTACCAGCCAGCTGCAACTTTTTACAGTTTAGACCTCAAGAGGTATTGAGTCTCCCGCCATTTCAGCTTCCCTTTCTGTAACTTAGAGAATGGAGCCTTCGGAAGGAGCTAGCTCTGGAGCGGCGTCGCTGCGGCTGCAAGTTCTCGCGAATCATCTTGAAGCTCCAGCAGTCCGCGACGGCGAGACAAGGCTTCTAAGTGTAGAGTCATGTTCCAGGTCCGTGGTTCGACGCCCGTTGAGCACGGTCGTGCTAGCTGATTATATGGCGGGTTCTCATCAAGCTGTGAAGGACCAAGTCTATCGTTTTTTCAAGCTCCATCCTGAACTGGAAACTCCCGTGGAGATTTCTAAGGACAAACACAGAGAGCTGGTCCTCCAGCAAATGCTTGGTCTCGTCAGAGAGGCCAACGTTCGACCTCTTCAGGCCCTCGTTGAAGACCCGACAATATATTTTGCGATTTCGGAAGCTATCGGCCACATTGACCTGTCTCTTGCTATCAAAACTGGAGTACAGTACAGGTAAGTTGAATGCAAGGAGTTCGCATCGTCGGGATTTTTGTGTGTGTACCGTCTGACTGGTTCAATCTTCCACTTGCAGTCTTTGGGGTGGGAGCGTTATTAACCTGGGAACGAAGCGTCATTTCGACAAATATTTTGACAAAATCGACAGCCTTGAGTATCCTGGGTGCTTTGCCATGACCGAGCTTCACCACGGTAGGGCACTTATTGAATATCATTTTCTTTCTCTGGTGTTTTCTCATTGGTCCTTACACTTCATTTCTTTTGTCTCGCAGGATCCAACGTTCAAGGGATCCAAACAACAGCGACATTTGACAGGTCGACAGACGAGTTTATCATCAACACGCCAAATGAGGGCGCAACGAAGTGGTGGATTGGCAACGCTGCATGCCATGGCAAGTTCGCGACTGTGTTCGCCCGTTTGAGACTCCCGTCTCCAACATCAAAAGTCTTGGAAGACCTCGGTGTGCATGCCTTCATTGTCCCTCTGAGGTGACTGTCTCCAGTGGTTAACGTTTCGTTTTTCCCGAATCGTGTAACTGACATGGGTTTCCTCTCTTTAACAGGAGTTTGGAAGACAACAGTGTTCTTCCAGGAGTTGAGATTCGAGACTGCGGCTACAAAGTTGGCCTGAATGGCATTGACAACGGAGCTATTCGTTTCCATAACGTGCGGATTCCCAGGGAGGACATGCTGGACAGATTTGGCACTGTCTCTGCAGATGGCCAGTACAGCAGGTAAATTCTGGGTTGAAGAATTCTGTTTATTGCGTTTTACAGGCTTTCTGGACTACTGTCTGAACTGATGTATCTGTGATGCAGTGAAATTCCAAGTGCAAACAAGCGGTTTGCTGCAACATTGGGAGAGCTTGTGGGAGGTCGAGTTGGTCTTGCGTTCGGATCTGTGGGAATTTTGAAAGCAGCATCAACCATTGCAGTGCGCTATTCCCTCCTCAGGCAGCAGTTTGGGCCACCTAACAAGCCTGAAGTCGCGATTCTTGACTATCAGTCACAGCAGCAGCGCCTGATGCCCATGCTTGCCTCAGCATATGCATTCCATTTCGCAACGAATGAACTCGTGCTGCAGTATGCAGAAATGAAGCGAACCAAGGATGAGGCCTTGGTGTCCGAGGTCCACGTCCTTTCGGCTGGTCTCAAAGCTTATGTCACATCTTACACCCAGGCGGCAATCAGCACCTGCAGGTATGAATCCGATTTCAACCACTTTCCAGCATATACCATCGCAACAACGTTTAGCATGCTCCGCTCGTTTGCACTATGCCAGGGAGGCGTGCGGAGGCCATGGCTATGCTGCCGTGAACCGGTTCGGCCGAATGCGCAACGACCATGACATTTTCCAGACGTTCGAGGGTGACAACACTGTGTTGCTGCAGCAGGTATGAAACATTCTGCTGCCGTTACGAGCCTTAGACATTCTATGTGTAGTGTGGTTGACTCGTTGTTTGACGTCATGATGCAATGCAGGTTGCAGCAGACCTTCTGAAGCATTACAAGGATAAGTTTTCAGGTGGTGCTCTTTCAGTGGGCTGGAACTACCTCCGTGATTCCATGGGCACGTACCTTGCTCAGACCAATCCAGTGACAACACACCGAGAGGGTCAATCGCACTTGAGGGACCCTCAGTTCCAGCTCGATGCCTTTCAGGTGAGCACTCCATCTAGGTACTGGTCAATCATGTGGGCATGTCATGCCATTCCGTCGTGTTTATTCTGTCGGTACACTTGATTCTGTTGGTACAGTCTTATGCAGTCAACCTAAGCTGATTTTTCTCCACCTTCCGATGTGCAGTATCGCACTGCCAAGCTGCTTCACACTGCAGCGCTTCGGCTAAGGAAGCACTCCCGACGCATGGGTTCTTTTGATGCCTGGAACCGCTGTCTCAACCACCTGCTGGTACTTGCAGAATCCCACGTTGAGTCGGTTATTCTGGCAAGGTTCATCAAGGCAGTTGAGAGGTGAGCTTGCATTCCTGTCTAGACGCCCACCGTTTCCAACAAAACCTTGTGTGGTTCGCAGTGCTTAGCTCCTGCTGTTTTTCTCAGGTGCGAGGACAAAGCATGCAAGTCAGCACTGAAGGTCATGTGTGATCTGTATGCGTTGGAGCGCATTTGGGGCGACATTGGGACGTACAGGAACGAGGACTATGTTGCCCCGAACAAAGCCAAGGTAAAACTGCTTCCCTTGCTTCATTTACCTATCCTTTCCCCCCACTCCCCCCCGCCCCTTCTCATCCCTTCCTCCTCTCTCCTCCGTTTTCAGCAAATGCTTTCCAAAGGTCTCTTCCTGGCGTGTCATTGTTCTAACAAATGTTTTTGGCATTTCAGGCCATTCACCGCCTCGTGGAGTTCCTTTGCTATGAGGCCAGGGGCATGGCCAAGGAGCTTGTGGACTCTTTTGGCATCCCTGACGACCTGCTCAAGGCGCCCATCGGCCTGCAGTCTGGACAGTATGCAGAGTACCTCAGCTATGTCAGCTTTTGAGAGGAACAAAGTCAGTGCCCTCTGATTGCTGCGCCTGTTGCAGCAATGTCCTCTTTTAGCACTAGTAATTGACTCGTTCATATAGTTTATTATTTGTCAGCTCAATTCACATTATGCATGCGTAGCCTGAACTGCAAACTGTTTATGGTATGCTCAGGTTTGTAAACTGCAGAATGATCTACATCTCCATTTTGCTTACAGGTACTAAGCCAATACTTGTCTGGGTAAGGTAGGAACAACTAAAACCCAGAACCCGCCTCTAAAACCCTGCACCACCCTTCCTGGACCACTTACCCATAAGCTGATTCACAACCTCCTTAGCTTGGTGAGTTTTTTCCCGTACCACCTTCGTTGCCCCTTCAGCAAGCCTCTCCCCAATGTGCACTGCTTCCACCACCACCTTAGATGCTCTGCTCCCTACATCACCAGCTGTTTCCCTGTCTGTGGCGTCACGTGCTTCTTGTGAGCCCGTCTCCTTGTGCTCCCTCTGCCTTCCTGCGAACTGCTTCCTTATCTGGCTAACCAACCCCCCATTTGACGCTTCTCCAGCAGCTTTGCCTCGCTGCAGTGCTCCACCTATAGCAGCCTTGGCACCTTCAAGGGTGGACATGGCCTGCTGCTGCAACAGTTGAGCGAGAGCAGATGGGTCACGGGGAGCGTCTTGCCCTGCAGCCTTCACCCGCTCCACCCCTTGCTGCAGCAGCTGCATTGCCTTACTTACAGCAGCATCAACGCTCCACCCAGTGCCAAAGCCCCCACCAGCCTCTCTTTGTGCTGCTTGCTTCCTCGCTAGAATTTCTGCCACGCGCTCAAGCAACTGCTTCTCCTCATCAGTGCCTTCCACTGCCACGCCCCCCTGCGCCCCATCTCCTGCACCACCATCAGCGGTTCCTGTCACTACCCCACCCATGCTGCTCGCGTCCTCCCCTTCCCCTATGTCCTGCTGTTGCTGCAAGCGGCGCTGCAGTTGCAGCCGAGCCCTCTGCAGCTCCTCAGCTGCCTCCTGCACCAACTGTGCCTGCTCCTCTGTAAGATGCCTGCATACACGGACAGGCAGGCACAAGGAACGAGAGTAGACAACACGAGGGGAGGAGAAGTACAGGCAGCAGAAGAAGATATAGAAAAAGGGGAAAAAAACCGGAAACATAGAATCCCACAAGCAGATAGTCGCATGAAAGAACCCCACCTCTTTGCCTCCAGCTGCTGCTTTTCCACTCGCAACTCCTCTGCTGCTTCAGCTGCTGCAGCCGCAGCTGCCCTAGCATTGGCGAGCGCTTGCTCCGCTGTCTCTCTCTCCTGCTGCACCGCACCAAGCTGCTCCTCCACCTGCTGCCTCTGCTGCTCCACTGCTGCCTCCGCTTCCTGCCTCTCCCGCCTTGCCTCCTCCCTCATCCCTGCCAGCACCTGCCGCTGCTGCTCAAGCTCCTCCTGTTGCCCACCACCACATGAAGCAAAAAGCAGAGAAGATATGAGACAGCATATACAGACCCAACAACAGAGCACCCCTCAAAGATCCCCACCAGTCACTTCCAACCCACAAAAGAACTCAAAAGTCCACCCTACTGCATTGCCCGCTCACCTTTTCGCTCTCCAGCTCTGCCTGCAGCCGTTCCACACGCTTCACAGCAGCCTCTGCCGCCATCTCTGCCTCCTCGCGCCGCATCCTCTCCCCCGCCACCGCCTCCTCCTTGGCCGCCAGCATGGCTGCCTCGGCGGCTGCGGCGGCCGCTGCCTCCTCCTGCACCACGGCCATGGCGGCCTCCGCTATGTGCTCCGCCTCCACACGCGCCATCTCCCCCGCCACCACCTCACTCACCCCGCCCCCCGCCAGCGCCACTGCCGCCTGCCCCCGCGTGACCGGCTTGTGCGGGTCAAAGCGCCGCGTGAAGCCTGGAGAGAGGAAGGCCAGGAGGGGAGGGGGTGGTGGGTGATCATGCTTCTTTCCCGCATGGCCGCATGGCGGCACGGCCGCATGGCGGCACGGCCGCATGGCGGCACGGCCGCATGGCGGCACGGCAGCATGGCGGCACGGCAGCATGGCAGCATGGCAGCACGGCAGCATGGCAGCACGGCAGCACGGCAGCATGGCAGCACGGCAGCATGGCAGCACGGCAGCATGGCAGCATGGCAGCATGGCAGCAAGGCAGCATGGCAGCATGGCAGCAAGGCAGCATGGCAGCATGGCAGCATGGCAGCATGGCAGCAAGGCAGCATGGCAGCACGGCAGCATGGCAGCATGGCAGCAAGGCAGCATGGCAGCATGGCAGCACGGCAGCATGGCAGCACGGCAGCATGGCAGCATGGCAGCAGGGCAGCACGGCAGCATGGCAGCACGGCAGCATGGCAGCATGGCAGCATGGCAGCATGGCAGCAAGGCAGCATGGCAGCATGGCAGCAAGGCAGCATGGCAGCATGGCAGCATGGCAGCATGGCAGCAAGGCAGCATGGCAGCACGGCAGCATGGCAGCATGGCAGCAAGGCAGCATGGTAGCATGGCAGCATGGCAGCACGGCAGCATGGCAGCACGGCAGCATGGCAGCACGGCAGCATGGCAGCACGGCAGCATGGCAGCATGGCAGCATGGCAGCATGGCAGCACGGCAGCATGGCAGCACGGCAGCATGGCAGCACGGCAGCATGGCAGCATGGCAGCATGGCAGCATGGCAGCATGGCAGCATGGCAGCAAGGCAGCATGGCAGCAAGGCAGCATGGCAGCATGGCAGCATGGCAGCAAGGCAGCATGGCAGCATGGCAGCAAGGACTGACCGAAGGCAGCGGCAATGATGCTCCTGTCGCCCCTGAGCACGTCCTGTGCGATGGCAGGCAGCGCGTCCTCATCCACGCGCTCCGCGTCTATGAATCCCACCGCCGCCACCACCTCCTGCACCGCGTAAGCATGCGCGCAGATGCACGGACGAGGAGGACAAGCAGCGGGAGGACGGGGGAAAGTGGGGGGCGGATGGATCCGAATGAAGAGACTGAAGAAGAAAGAGCTGGAGAGGAACCGATGATAGCCGTAGCTTGAAAAGAATTGGAGAGGCCTGGAAAGGCCAGGTTGGCGCACCTCCTTGGGTTGCAGAGGCATCATGTTGTGGTAGTCCAGGGAGAGCTTCCAGGAAATGAGGTCCTGGCGAGTCAACGCACTGCCAGCATAGAGGGAGCGGGTGAAAAGCGTTGAGAATAGGCGCGGACGGGTATGATAGCAGGGTACACGCACCCCGACATGCTGGTATGGGGCATGAAGCGGCGGTGGCAAGCAAGCATGGAGTCAGATTATGCAATAAGAACAATCAGAAGGACGGCGTGAGCGTGGTACCCATCAGGGTGGAACGAAGCGTTGGCCCCTGGGCTGCAACCCCTGCGCCGGGCAGCAGCAGAGGCACGCGGGCAGCCAAGGTCGGCATGGGAGAGCTTGCTGGAGATGAGCCCCGCCTCGGCCAGCCCTGCACGAGAGGGGCAGAGGAGAGAGAGCAGGGAGGTGGGCACAGGCATGCTTGCGGTATCCAGTAGAGACACCTGACTGACACAAAAGGACGATCCCCACACTGACACACAATGCAGTGCAGCAGCTCACAGTGCACGCATCACGCAGCACGCAGCATGCAGCATGCAGCACTTGGCGTGTGGCACGTGGCATGCCTACCCTGGATGTAGGGGAAGTCCGGGTCAGAGGCAGTGACGTCGTCGAAGGCGAGTGCAGTGGAGCCATCCACGTACATGGCGGGGTAGATGCGGTCCGATGCCGCCCTGCATGGGCGGGGCCCGAGAGAGAGGTACATTTGAGGGGGGCAAGGCGAAGAGGGAGGAGTGGTTGTAGTGGCAGGCAGTGGAGTGAGTCGCAGTTGGCCATAATGCACGTCTGAGTGCGCGTGTGGTGCGCAGCATACATGAGGCCAGCACACCATCCCTCACCTGGACAGCATGTTGGAGGCGTGCACGAGCCAGCGCGCGAACTCCCTCCGCGAGCAGATGCCCGCCGCATCCACGCCCTCCTCTATCACCTGCCGCACTCGGGCGCGCGCACACACACATGTCATAGAGGGGCACATACACATGGGAGCACATGGGAGCACATGGGTCAGATGAGCCTTCAATCAGGGCAAGCTGCAAGGCTGAATGGGTCGGGCAAGGCTGAGCACCCACACCTGCCCATCCTCACGGTTCCTCCCTCCCACATCGTCTGCTGCCAGCCACCCATCCCCCCACCCGTACGTCCCCCTTATCGAGCCCTCTCACCTCCAGCGCCTGCAGCGCCTCCAGGGCCGTCTGCTGCGTGCTGTCCACCGCCGCCCGCACCACCACCTGCCCCGCCCTCGCCTCGCCCCCGCCCGCTGCTGCCGGGGGCGAGGAACTGAGAGGCGCTGGCACAAACACCGTCATCCCCCATGGCATGGCGGGCGCCGTTGCAGCACTGTCGGCGCCGCTGTCAGATGCAGTCGCAGCTGCAGCCGAGGCAGGCGCAGGAGCCACGGGAGCATCACCAGAGCCGGCATCAGCAGCACTCGCAACTGCCGGCACTCCACTCAACGACCCGTCCTCTGCTGCTGCCGGATTCTTGTCTCCCCCGCCGCCCTCGCCCGCCTTCTCCCCCAACACGCCCTCCGCTTCCCACCCCCCGTCCCCCTCTCCCTCCGTACTCTTCTCCCCGGTCTCCCCGCCCTCCCCCGCCTGCTCGGCCTGCATGGCGTCCAGCCACGGCCGCAGCTCCGACACCGACGCCGCCACCTCCTCAGCGAACGGCCCCACCACGTCCTGCCCCTCCTCCTCCTCCTCGCCGCCCTCGCCCCCGCCCGCGCCCAGCGCCGTGCCCGCCTCTCCCGTGCTCCCCGTCAGCAGCTGCTCCAGGCTCTGCTGCTTGCCGTCCGCCTCCGCGCCTGCCTCGCCTAACGAGCTCTGCGCCTCCGCGCTCTCCTTCCCCTCACTCTGCTGCCCCTGCTGCTCGCCCGCTCCCACGCTGGAAGCAGCAGCAGCAGCGGTAGTGGTGGCGCTCGGGGCGGGTAAGGCGATGGGGATGGGGAGGGGCGGAGGCGTGTCGGCGGCAACAGTGGCGGCAGCGACAATCTGTGACGGCAGCAGGAGGTCGTTCAACGATGGGTCCACGCCCCTGCTCTCTGCGGCACCCACTATTCCCCCCGCCCCTGCTGTCTCTTCAACCTTCGCTGCTGAATCGCTCTCTCCTCCCCCCTGCCCCTCCGCGCCCTGCGCCCCCGTCCCCTCGCCGCCTCGCCCCTCAGCACCGTTCACTGCAGAGGCGGGAGCAGCAGCAGCGGCGGCGCTTGGTGCAGGGAGCGATGGGCTGGGCTGCGCGGCAGACGGCGACATTGTGCCCACCACCGCCGCGTCAGGTGGCTTCGGGACGCTGGCGCGGCCTGCGGAGGACACTGGGGGAGCAGGGGGGGGAGGCGGAGACAGGGATTCGGTATTGTGAAGAGGCTCGTGCAAGCACTCGTGGCGAGGGAAGGGGGGGAGGAGGGATGCGTATGGGAGCCGGGGATGGGCAGGGCATGCAAGACCACGCGCATACCTCGTTTGTGGAGGCCAGCGAAGGCAAGCGCGCCGAGCCCCAGCAGCAGAACGAAGCCCGCTGCGAACTCGGGAAGGCCTGCAGGGCATGGCAGGTGGGGGCGGGGATGCGGGAGAGGGATAAGAAGCCACGTAATGGCGGAACGTCACATGGGACAAACAGATCATCGGGTTGGCAGCTCGGCCGAGGGGTTGGCAGCTCGGCATGGCATGGCAGCGACAATCACGTGCAGTTGCCTGTGCCGCTTGCATGCGCGCATAACCCCGCTGCACCAGCAGCAGCAGCAGCAGCGCCATCAGTTGCTGTGTACCGTGGCCCATAACGTGGGGTGCGGCAGCAGGAAGACCCAACGCATGGCGCCCGCTCACCGAGATCCAAAAGGAGAGGGTGGGCGACTCAGGCGCAAGAGACGGACCACGTTGCTCCTTGGGACACACATGTGGAATTCACCCTGGGATTTACTTAGCGATTCACCGCGTACCTGGTTGGTTACCCGCCGAAGGTCGTGATTGGTCCAGATCAGACGGATCGCCCCATCCCCCGGAAGCGTTTTTTTTTTGCCCGTCGGCCCACGACCCCGCAGCATCACCGCCGCCGCCTTCCGAAGCCGCCCCGGGCCTGCTCGCCCCGTTGAGTGCCCCGCGCGGATACTTTCCCCCTGACGAGCGTTCCGCCCCCTCCCGCGGCTGCTGGCCCTCCCCGCCCGTGGAGTCGCTGAGAGGCGCGCTGCTGCCCTCCTTCGATGCGCGGAGAGGCGGAGGGCGAGACGAGGGCAGCGGGGCGACAAGGGGATTCGGGAACGAGCGGCCAGGAAGGAGGGGAGTGCGCCCACGCGACGATGCGCGACGGGCTGGAGATGAAAGAGCATGGATGCGACGAGGAAGAAGCGTGGATGAGGGGGAGTGGAGAATAGAAGCTGAAGCGGCGGAGAGACAGGAGAAAGGAGCTTGTCTTGCAGTCAACGACGACGATCCCACACACTGCCCCGTCATGGCTGCACGCGCCTAGAGATGGAAGGCGAGAGATAAGAATCGTCGGTTTGGTACAGCGAGCGTGAGATTCAAGAAGAAAGCAGTCACACGGATCCAAGGACAGGACTTTCTTGGTTTGGGTTTATTGCTGGTGGACACAGGAAGTCGTGCTTGATCGGATTCTTTCGCCCGCTTCACCGGGCAAAAGCCTGTAGCGAGAAGTGACAAAAGCGAAGAAGCCCCATTTCACATGACACGTCAGACGAATGCCCTCTGGATCTCCCATGGCATGGGGGCCTTCGTGGAAAGTTTCACTAAGCCAAGTCGGTAACAGCGCTTCATGATTTTCCTTCACATTTATGCAGTTGGAGAAAAGAATGTTTTTTTTACTCGATTTGAAATTAGGAAGTTTACGATCTGTCTTGTCCAACTCCTTTCTATCTGGGCAAACCAATAGTTTGTATAGCTTTGACGGAGACACATGCCACTTCAACTCTTCTGTGGCATTAACTCTTGAAACTTCGCTCTGTTACAAGAAACGGTTACATACTATGTACATACATCTCGACATTTAGGGTGGGTAGAAGTGTCTGCCACAACACATAGGTCCTCCATTTCGTCTGTACCCTTGTTCAACTCCAGATAAACTCCGAGGCTGAGAGGTCAGAGGCACATGCATTGTCAGGTGCTCAGAGTTCCATGCGCTCCAGCACAATAGGAGGAATACCTCTGCGAATTCTCACCCCTCCACATGCTGGGCACTGCAAAGAGGTGTGGGGTAAAAGGAGAGAGGCATCAGCTTAAGTGTTAGGGGGGGCGTAATGTTGTGTAAGTTGGGGAAAAAGGAGCAGGGTGAGATGGGGAGAGGAGGGGGAGGGGAGGAAGGGGAGAGTGAGGGTTGGCAGGAGGGAGAATAGAAGTTGATACGAGGATGTTAACAATATAGCAGATGACCCAAACGGTGATTGAACAATAACCACAGCAGTATTTCTGCCCTCCCTGCATACCTTGGAGCACCCTTCGCCTAAGCAGGCGGGGCAGGGATCCTTGCGGTCGAACTTTCCCTCCCAGCGGATCAAGCCTGTGCCCTGGCACAGCGTGCAGCAGTGCAGCCCATACCCGCCACACACCTCGCACTGCTCACCGCCCCACACACCAGCAAGAGCACCGGAGGGGAATGTTGAGGATGTGATGGGAGGAAAGGAGAGACAAGGATCAGCAAAACCATGCCGAGGACAGGCGGAAGGCCGATCTAGTACCAGAGCTGCACATGCGTTCATGCACGCATGCCCATGGGCTCACCTCGTTGCCGTGTTCCTCGTGCTCGTGCTCGTGGTGCTGGTAATGCTCCCTCATCACTAGCGTCGCTATGCCCACCACGGCCAGCACCACTGCCACCACCACTCCTCCCTTGCCTGCATTCACACGCACAAGGCATGGCAACAGCACAACCGACCAAGTCAGTACGACTTCAATTTTCAACAACCACGGCACCAGCCGTTCGCGCCAAATTCTCTTCTTCCCTGTCGCTCCCCTCCTTCACCAACTCCCCGTCACCATCCCCGCCTCCTCTGCCTCCCCCTACTCTCCTCACCTCGCAGCGTGCCGGTTATGCGAGCCCCTGGCCGTGCCGCTGTGGCGGCGGCAGCGCTCACAGTCGCCACAGTTCGCGACGACCGTCGCAGCAAAGCCTGCGACAGCGACGCCGTCGCCACCTGCGCCACGGCTTGAGTGCTTTCGTGCCCCGCGTGGGCCTCCCCCAAGCCCACGGCCGGGCCCGCAGCGGGCTGCGCCGCGATAATGCCGGCCGATTGACGGTGATCGTGCGGCGAGGCGGGAAAAGGGGAGCTGAAAATGGGGATGGGGATGGCGATGGGGATGGGGATGGCGATGGAGACGAGATGGTGAGTGTGACGGCCTCGCGAGCCCACGCGGGCCGCTTCGACAAGTGCCGAATCCGCGTTGAAAACCCCCTGCTCCCATGACTCCACTCGCTCTTCCATGCCCGCCACAAAGTTTTCCTCCTCCCTCACCTGCTCGCTACACCAACTTCCGTCGCCTCGCCACCCCCGTCGCGAGCAGTCGCAGAGCAAGAGAAGCTCCAGCGGCGTGACACACGATGCCCCGCACCGTGCGACGGGCTGTGGCCGTGGGAGTGGCCAAGCGACGGGGAACGGCGGAGGAAGGGAGAAGCGCAGACACAGGAGAGCGCGTGGGGTCGTGCGGGCACGGTCGTCGCCACGGCGAGAGACGTGCACGTGCCCGCAGCGCTGCTGAACGCGAAGAACGTGGGGAAAAGAGAGAGAGAGAGATAGAAAAAAAATTTGCTGAGAGCTGAGCTGCGGGGAAGAAAGGGAGCGCGGATAGGTTCCGCGCGACTTCCCATACCCTGGTTGCTCCCGGTGTAGGAAAACCAAGGTGAAGGTATACTGCTGCGGAAACAACGGGCATGTGACGAAGACAAGGAGAATAGGCAAGCCGGGAAATGCAATGAACTCAGCGACTCCCAGAGAGGAAGGTTGACGGGGAAAGGACACGGCGACGAGCATTGGCACGCCATGGCGACTGCAGCGAAGGCCTCACCTGTCAAGGCGTAGAGCTGCAGTGGAGTGACCACGCGCCAGCGCTGTGGAGTGGCACGCAGATGGTACCAACGAGGCCATTTGGCAAGGGCGGTCAGACAACGCAGACGCAGACGGGCGGGAGAGGCTGGTGGACCTGAGAAGAGAAGGCATGCTTGACTCCTCGTTATGGAAGAGGCTAGACGAATAGAGGCTGGATGTGGAGAGCAAAACCTAGAAACTGTTTAGAACTCTCGCGTACACCATGAAGGCTAGTCACGAGTCTATATTGCCTCAAATGAACGGATGCGCGTGTCGAGGTAACGTTTTTAGGACAGCGACGAGCGCGGAGAAAGTGTAGGCGGACGACTTTGTGGTCCCCTACATTTGTTGCAGAGTTTTTTTCTCCGGTCACCTCATCAGCCAACTATTGAGCTGAGAACCAATCAGACGTTTCTTCTACCATATCGAAAATACTTGACGGTAGAATCTCGCATGACCCTTTTTGCTCAAGTGAAGCTGCCCGCGTTGAATTTTCTCTCGGGAGTTTCAAGAAGGCTGGGGGAATAGCCAGTCACGGTGAGGCAATCCCCAAAGTAGCGGAAAATATCGGCAATTTTGCTGTCGCCCTAACCCGATTCGTCCAAACCTCAAAGCATGCTGCGATGAACCTACACCCGTACTTGCCGCCAAGGTTCTCGTGAATTTTCATGGCAGGTCTGAGCACCACACGAGGGGTTGATGCAAGTCTGACGTGCGTCGAATGGCTGCCAAAGCTCGAAGGCCGTGGCGCCAGTGGGAATTGAACGGCGGAAAACTGGCTCGGTCTGCTCTTTCCTCGTCTTGTTGACGTGGATGCTGTGCCTCTGGGTGTCGCAGAAAACTAAGGGCGTGTCCTCAGCGTTCATTTTTTGCTAACACCCTACCGAACCGTGCTACGGAGCTATTGGATGTTTTTGAAAAGCAGTTCACCTAACTCAACCGTGTTCGGACATACTCTTAGGACACGCCCTAATCACCTCAATCTTTCGCTATAAGCTGAATCGTTCTTTCGGTACACAGTGGCGGGGTGTAGTAGGCATGTCGGTTGCAATGGTTGCAACTACACTGCAGCGTGACAGAGGGTATCATAAAGCGCAGGCTAGCTCCTTGCAAAAGCATATCCTCCCGCATCCTTTGGTTCAGCCATTATTGAGGACAATCTCTCCAGCCTTTCAGGCTCGGCTTTTAGGCTTGCGAATCTCGAGGTTCTCGTAACCTCTCTCGTGAAGCCACGTCACCATTCACTGCCCAAGCGCTGTTTTGGTTAGCGGAGGGCTGCGCTGTATGCATGATTGGGGCGAGGCATGCGCATTGCGCAAGGGGTGATGCCCTTGTGGAGTGGGGTGTACCGACGGCAGTAGTTAGTAACCAGTCGTCGACTCGACAGACAGCCGCGCTACTGACAACACGAATTGGTCCTCAATACCCACGCCTCTAGCTTCCTCGCACGCGGGAAACCATGGATGCCTGCGTCGCTGCCTCGCTCTCCGCTCCCCAGTGCGCTCTCACCGCCGCCGGAAGCTCCTTATCGAGCTCCACCGCGTCTCGCGCTCTGGTCCAATGCAGCGCTTTCCGCGGCACCCCGCTTCGCACGCCGTCGCTGGCCGCCAGTCGCAGGCGAGTATCCCCGGTAGAGCAGCGGCAGGCAATTAGAAACGGGCTGTTCGATTTCCTGACGGCCTTCACGGGCCCGAAGGTGAGCGACGAGCAGCGCGAGGCGCTTAAGGAGGATCTGCTAGCCGCCATCGAGCCGCTCGAGCGAGGCCTCGCCGCCTCGGAGGACGACCAGCAGGCCGTCGAGGAGGTACGCGCGCCGGCTGTACAGATGTCCTTTCTCACGCGTCTAGACGACTCTCCGTCGTTTCGAAGAGCGTTTGGAGACAGTGGACATCAAATGCCGTCCCACTTGCGTCTATTTTCTGGTTTCCGTCTGGCCATTGACGTCGTCGCAGTCTACTTGTCGCGATGGACTGCCGCGTTCACGCGGCGACGGTCCATCGGCACGCGCACCTTGTTCACATTCACATTCACATTCTCATTCCGGTTCGCTTCTCTCATTCCAGCCTTTGTCTCTCCTCGCTTCCCGAGGCGTGTGAGAGTGATTCCCGTACGAACGTGTCCGTCCGTCGCTCCGTCCCGCCACGCCCCACCGCAGCTGGCGGCGCAGCTGGAGGCGGTGAATCCGACGAAGCAGCCGCTGCGGTCGCCGCTGATCAACGGCAAGTGGAAGCTGCTGTACACCACGTCCGACACCATCCTCGCGCGCAATGTCAGTCGCCATCCGCCCTGCCACCTCTGCCCCTCCCCCTCGTCGTGCCGTGCACCATGCCGCGAGTTCTAGAAGCTAGAGAGGAAGCAACATCGATTTGGCCAGGGCGGTCATGGCGGCGCCGTGCCATCCGTCGGACTGCTCTATGCGCTCCCGCGTTTTCCAGCCCCCTCTGCCTAGTCGTTTCCCCTCGGCCGTGCGTGTGGGGCCATCAGCCTGATTCGCTTCACCTGTGCGCCCACCCCGCTCGTCCCTCCCATTGCCCGCACCCCATGTCGTCGCCCCTGCCGGCCTGCCGTTGCCCGTGTGGGTGGCGGCGCGCAGAGGCCGTTCTTCCTGCGCCCGTCGGGCCCCATCTTCCAAGCCATCGACGCCGAGACTCTGCAGGCGCGCAACCTCGAGACGTGGCCCTTCTTCAACCAGGTACCACGCGCCGCTGCCGCTGCTGCTGCTGCTGCCGCTTCTGTTGCTGCCGCCGCTGCTGCTTTCCACCCTAAACGCTGGTTGCACGCGAGTGAACGAACCAATTGATCATTGCAAACCCTCTCTCTCTCCCACCCTTCTACTCCCATGCTGCACACATGGCCGCCACCCACTCGCCCTCGCGCCCGTGTGTGCCCCCCGGTGTGCGTGCGTCAGGTGCAAGCCACGCTGACACCGACGTCTGCCTCCGCCGTGGACGTCAAGTTCGACGTTTTCAAAATCCTCTCGCTGGTACGCTGCTCGCCGCTGTGCTGCTCGCTGCTATCATGTCACTGATCGCCGTATTCGCGTTCGCGCCATCGCCTCTCAGTACGCCCAGTCAAATGCCCTCTTGCCACCCACCGCCCATCCTGCTGTGCTTCACGGCATCTCGCTCAATGCGCTGCAGTGCTGCCAACCCCTGCCTCCTTGGTGCTCCACAGATCCCCATCAAGGCGCCTGACTCGGCAAGGGGGTCCCTTGAAATCACCTACCTGGACGATGACCTCAGGTGGGCATGCTGCGTGCCCTGCCCTCATGCATTGCTATCAGCCTATAGGCTTGTCATGCGCCCTCATTCTCACCATTTCCCATCTGCAGCACGCTCCCCCACTATGTACCTCTGCTGCTTGTCCTTTGTGCCACTGCCTGACACTTTCTGGTGACTTGATGCGATCTCAATCCAACGAAGACACACATGGCCTTTGCCCATCCTGAGATGATGCCCTTAGTCATTGTCTCCCTGCTCACTGCATTGTGTTCCCATTCTTCTTGACTGTTCTACTCTCTCCTTCCTCGACCCCTCCCTCTTTTTCTCCGTCCTGCAATTCTCCTGTGATATGCGGTATGCTGGGGTGCAGGATCTCGCGGGGTAACAAGGGCAACCTCTTCGTGCTTGCCATGGAGGATGCATCGTACCGCATCCCCCTGGCAGAGGAAGAGAGCGAGGAGGAAGAGGAGTGAACATGGGCGATGAAGGGCCATCACATGAGATTGTTCAGCTTGATGACATCAAGCTGTGGTGGACAGATACAACAAATGCGTTGCAATGTAGTGTAATCATTCCACATTCAGCAGTAAAAGAAATGTCCGGGACATCCAGCATACCGTATGGAGGACTATCAGCAATGCTATTTGACAGTGTTCTACTGTTGCACATTATATGTTCTGTCTGCTTCTACGCATAATAGCTGATGAAAGTGTCCAGCGTGTTTCTATCCGTCAACACAACTGCTCACTAAACTTGATTGATGGGAGTTGCACACTGGCGGCGTCCTTGTTTCATTTCTTAACCCTACATATAAAACTTGGTGCCATGCTAACATGAACGGCAAGGCACCCAAGGAAAAAGGAACGTTGCTGGCAATTGGCAGTGTGAACAGGTGAGCATTGCAACAGTCTGGAGCATCCGTCCTCTTCTCTCTGGAGCTATCATGGCAAGTCTAAGAGGTGGAGTCCTGTGCGGCGGAAGGGCTGGCGAACTTGGCGGTGGAGAACTTGGCCTCCGTGGCGTACCAGTCCTCGAGGCTGACGAGCGAGTTGAACTCGGTGAACGTGGCCAGGCGCTCCAGCGCCCCGCGCGTCGTGCCCTCGCGCTTCAGCTCCTTGTGGATGTCAATCAGCGCACGCGTGGCCGCGTATAGCCCCGTCAGCGGGTTCACTATCAGGTGAAACCCAAGATCCTGGAGGGAGACGGAGAAGGGAGGGGGGAGGGGGGATAAGCGGTCCAGCAAGTACGGAGAAGTAGGGGGGGGGGGGATAAGCAGCAATCCAACAAGAAAGGGGAAATAGGGGGAGAAAAGGGGGGAAGAGAAGGGGAGGAGCTTACAGAGAGCTCCTGCGGCGTGAGGAGGGGAGTGACGCCTCCTTCCAGCATGTTGCACACTCGGATGCCCCTGGTGCTGCGGCCTATCTCCCTCAACTCCTCCACATCGCGCGGTGCCTCCACAAAGCACCCGTCAGCTCCAGCCTGCCAGGCATGCCAGGCACAAAAACGAGCACTTAGCACCTCAATAACATGCACATGCATGTGAAATCGTTAGTTGACGAGCAGACAAGGCAGAACAGGCAACGTACATCCATGTAGAGGTTGGCGCGTGCGATGGCATCGGCGAGCCCTCTCTTCTGCGACGTGGCGCGGGCGTCTGTGCGCGCCACGAGGAAGAAGTCCGCATCGCCAATGGCGTCCCGCGCTGCCGCTATCTTGACTGCCGCCTCCTCTGCTGGAATGACCTGCACGTGGCGGACATGGAGTGGATGGCGTCTGCCTAGGGCGTGCAGTGGCCTAATAGGTAGCGCATTCCTTCTACTGAGCGGCCTACCGCTATCTCTAGCTTCATAGAAAAGGTTGCATGGAACGTGGTGACACTTAATACCAGCATAGCCACAGCAGGCACCCGTTGCTCCGACGTACCTGCTTGCCTCTCATGTGTCCTGATGCCGCCAGCATGCGACGAATTCCACATGATGGAGGGGAGGGGAAGGGGGTGAGGGGGGGGTGAGGAGTGTGAGGATAGGAGTAGGTGGAGGGGATGAGGGGAGGAAGTGTACTGTGAAGTCGTTGTAAGAATGTGAGGATGTCAAGTGAGGAACAAGGTAGCGGAACAGTAAGAGGACATCGAGTCGGGCAGCTTGCTGAACGAGTAATGGGTCGTGACTTACCGCACTTCTTAGGCCAAACTTGATCCTGAGGTGGCACAAGCAGGCGCAAGCAGGCGCAGAGCAGGGGAGGACGCAGGAGAGAGAAGGTGAGCAGTGCAGTGCACTTGCGACGGGATGCAGTAGCAGCAACGGAGCACATCAGCGGGAAACGGTGCGCGTTACGAGAGTGCGCAGACGAGGGGAAAAAGGACAGCGACAGGCAATGCGTTCATCGCGGGTGGCGAGTTGCTGAGATCACCGCATCGCGCGCACCTCGAGGAAGCAGCCCGCAGCGCCTGCGGCGATGAGGTCCTTGACAGTGCGCTGCACGTTGAGCGCATTGCCGCCTCCCGTGTCTGGCGGGGCCGAGCAGAGTGGACGAGAAGTGAGATATAGCGAGAGCGAGAGGGGGGGGGGGAGAGCAGACGAAGAAGAGTACGGAGGAGGGCGGGAGAGAGGGAAGGGGGGGGGGGGGGGGGGGGGGGGATGGTGGGGGGGGCACTAGGAGGAGGTTGGGCTGCGCGGAAGAGGTGCAGCGCTGTAGGAGATGGGGGTTTAGAGCGTACGGAGCATGACAAGAGATTTGAAAGCCGCAAACGCGTGCGTACCTGCGTCAACAAAGATGGGAGTGGAGGGAGCAGCGGCGCATACGTAGCGTGCCGTTGCGCACATCTCAGTTGGACTGTGAAGGGGGTTCAATAGAAGCGGAAAGAGGAGCCAGACGACTTGCTCTTCCCTTAACATGGGAACTGAAACCCTCTACGTTCATGGAAGGTTAAGGACTCTCAATGGCTCGTAGCCGACAGGTGTCACGTTCTTACCCCCGTTTCCCCCCAGAGCAAGACAGATCAGAGGTGATACACGCTCAATGTTACCAACAAACAGAAGCATATGGAAAGCACGCACGTCAGCAAACCAATGTCGGGTTTCCCGAGTTTCGCAGCAGCAGTTGCATATCCCGAGATGAATCCGGCTTCGAAGCCGGACTGTTCGATGATGAGGGCAGACAGAGCGTCGTAGCAGCCGGGGAGAATCAGAAATTTATTCTCGTTCAGCAGCCGGTGAATTCGCGTGTTGCCGCCAGCCATGGCGGAGATTCTAGACACCTTGCGCGGTTTGGACACGAGGAGAGATGCGTTCCCATTGGACCTAAGGCTCGTGACCCCCGAGCTAAGGAAGGAAGAGTGAAGCGTGGAGCTGGATGCCTGAACCACGGTGGCGGCCATGGTGGGAAGGGGCTAGAAAATGGGCTAAACAAACGAGGAAATGTGTTTTGGGATCGTAAATGGCAGCAAGGGTGATTTGACGCCCTTCACATTTTAGACAATGGTGCTGAAGCCTGGTGATTGGGGGACGCCCTGTCCCTCCCAAACTAAGCATCACAGCCCTGAGGGCGGGTCCAAATAGTTCAATTGGGGTTTTTGGACACGTTTTTACGAACTCGGGTGCAAAAACTGAATACGGTACCAAATTCCTTCCTCCCCCTAACCGCGTCTCATATTGCGAATGAAAATAGAAACTGGCGCCACCTGGGTGCGTCGAAAAATACGGTTCGCCCCAGATACCCCATTGTTACCAATGTCGCAATACGCAAAACGGATGCTTCGTGCTGGGTTTGTGGCAGGTGCGATTTGCCGTTGCACCGCACGAGCTGTTCGCGAGGTGTCACACGCCAAGCCAAGCCCGGCTTGGCGAATCTCCAAAGCGCCACACGTGTCTACCCGCCCCCAAAGTACACCTACCGTCACTCGAATGGTAAACGAGCCCTACCGTCACTCGAATCGTAAACGAGCCTTGACTGGGGTACATGTACCTGCAAATGCACTGAGCGTCCCGAGCTACGGTAAATTCGCGCACCTGTCCTCGCGAAATCAAAGCGAGGTAATAAGAATCAGGTTACTTTGACGAAATGAATAGACTGTAACTATCTGGACCCGCCCTGAACGATGCTTCGGACGCCCCATGGACCTGGGTCAAGGAACAGGCAGTGGATGAGGCCAACGAGAACAAACCAGAGCTGATGCGACTCCTCGGAAGGGTTCGCCTACGCGTGCGACTCGTACCAGTGACCTGGACATGACCTGGCAAGTAAAGGAGGATGCCTAGAGAGCTGATCAGCGTATGAGCTGGAGCATACGTGGACATTGCCAGCGAGTAGGATACGGGAAATGAAATCGACGTGTGACGTGGTGATCCTCGATGGGAGGAAGTTGATTGGTGTTCGCTCGGTTCTAGATCTTCTGGCTAACGAAGCAAACATGCATGCTGCACACAAGTGTACTAGCAGAATGTGCTCTAGGACGAAACGCATATAGACCACAAGATGTCACCTGACTATATTATACCACATGAGTTCTTGCAAATATCTCCGAAAATTCCTCACGAGATTTCATATGTGCATCAATGTGTCCAAAAACCTTTCCATGTTTCAGTGTTTCCATTTCCATGTGGCATTTCATGCATGCCATGTCATGGTAATTTTGATATTTTTCTACTCAAATGGCTGGTGGCATAATCCCCACTTCATGACAGTATAGGAAGGATGAATACTAGTTTAGAGTACAATCCCTCCCTTTCATTGCTTTTGATCATTTACTGTGTGAACCAATGTCCTGCTGTCATGGATGGCTCGCACAGCTCAATATTTTCTGGTGGATGCCACGCTGTGCGCGTTGAGCCGTCCGTTTCCTATTCCAGTAACGTTTTGATTGGCTATCAGCTCACGCGCTGGCGGTTTGTGCCTTGGGGCCCATCGCGCTGGTTGGGGAAATGTTTTAGTTCTTTCAATCAACCGCTGTGTGAGGGCGTGTTCAGCGTGTACATTTCAGGCTTTGGCGGGGCAAAGTACTTACTACGCATACGCCCCAAAAATGTACTTTCGAGTGTCAACGTAACGTCCTGTGTCCCCGAAACCCAGGATCCTGGTGTACTGCGCGAATGACTCCCAGGTGGACACGTGCCGCGAATGGGAACAGGTGGGGTACACCGCGCGTTTTTTGTATCCAGAACTGTGTAAGTCTGCATACGCTCTAAAAATCACTGTACCCCTTGCTGTACGCTAAACGTACGCGCTGGACACGCCCTAACGAGCGACGACTCATTTGACACACGCGGAGCCCTGGGTAAGTGTTACCGATTCGCCTTGATCAGTGTCTGCACTTCACCAATAGCATGCACCTATCCCTCTCCACCACAGGTCGGCCTTCCCACAATCTAGGAGCTGAAGGCTCCTCCATCAGCAGGATCTCCAAGCAAAGTCACCCAACAATGTAGAATGCCATTTCCCAGAGGCCCGAGTGTTCCTCCCCTCCCCAACCCCTGGGGGAAACCTCACCGCCTTTCCTCAGCGGCATTCCAGCGCGGGCAACTGGCGTGCCCCACCCACAGCTAGTGGCGCTCGGCTGAAACACCGCAAACACGACATTCGTCGTACCCCCTCCGCCAAAAACCTCCTCTCTTTCTCGTTCGCTCCCGCCAGCCTCCCACCACCAGTTTCTCTAGACAAGCACCAACTCACCAAGTACCATCCCTGAAAGATTGTCGTCCCCTAACACACTGTTGGTAGCGATTTCCTGGTCAGGCGTTGTATGTTGATTGTCACCGACTCCTGCCTCGGGATCTGCGAACTATCACTTCTGGAAACCGTAGCACGAGCCGCTTATCATTCTCTCTGTCCCCTGGCCTTGAGCCAGCTGATTATTCGTCGACATTCCTGTGTCAGCCAATTGATCGACTTGACAGAAGTACTTCTTTGTTAGAACCATTTTTGACTGCCGAGTTGGATTTACAGAGAATTTCCTACTCAGCCTTATCTCGCGTCATCCTGCTCCGCAGACTGTCTAGATTGCTGCACCGACGCTGTGATCAGATCATTCCCTCAGGTAGCCATTCTTCCCCGTAGCGTTTGTTACAGATCGGATCTCGCCTGGTTCCCGACTGATTGCTTCGCTTTCACTCTCTTGTCGCGACGATTTGTCCTGACACAATGGACGAGCAAATGGCGCCTGTCCATAGCGGGCTTTATCTTCCTGGTGGTGCGTCCCCTTGTGCTGACACGTCATGCATGCTTTCTGTGCCCCTGTCGCCCCAGCTGAGCCCACTTCCTGCAGCTGCACTGCCCGTGAGCACGTCTATGGGAGCTGGTTGCGGGCCTCCAGCGAGTGACACGACAGATCAGGCAGCTGTAGCGAACGGCTTCAGTGCTCAACAAGGACAGGCTGGCACTTCATCGGAACAGGTTGGAGGCTCGTCTCGGCCTGGATCGGACAGTCCTTTGGTTCAGCCTCATTCCTCAGTAGCCGCTCCCAGAGCAGACACGGGAATATCCGCCTCGTTGAGTTGTGCTCCGGAGTCCAGCAACACGTATGTTGCTGGCGCAGGGCCAGTAGTAGGCGTTGGATCTTCGACTCTGGCTGGTGCGTTTTCCTCAACCATGCCCTCTGCTACCACGTCATCCGCTTCCGCGCTCGCTGATAACGTCTCCGGAGCCGCCACCACCACCGCTGCTGCTTCCAATGGCAGCACCGGCACCGCTGCTGCTGCCGCCGCTGCTGCGGCTGCAGCAGCAGCAACGCCGTCGATATCGCCGTGCGGCGCATGCAAGTTCCTGCGACGCAAGTGCACGAGCAGCTGCGTGTTCGCGGCGTACTTCTCGCCCGATCAGAGCCTGCGATTCGCTAATGTGCACCGCATCTTCGGCGCCAGCAACGTGGGCAAGCTGCTCCAGGACCTCCCACCGCCCAGCCGAGAAGACGCCGTGAACAGCCTGTCTTACGAGGCCGAGGCCAGGATCAGCGATCCAGTCTATGGCTGCGTTGGGGCGCTGTTTGCGCTGCAACAACAGGTGCGCGTGCCGGAATCTCAACTGTTTCCTTATTCAGGCCAGCTCACGTGGTTTCTCCTGCTCCCGTTACACCGAAAGCTTCAACGTCTTTATCCCTGGTCCACACCACCTTCGCTGCCAGCATGTCGACTGGTGATGCCCTCCTCATAATTTTGGGCTCTCTCTTTCTCAAGACGCTTCAACGGGCTGTTTTGGTTGAGCCAGCAGCAAACCCGAATACGTGTACTCATTTTTGGGTTTCTGGATATCTGTTAACGCGTTTCTTGTCCGTCGGTGTGCTGCACTCATGTTGTACATGCAGGTGGTGCGGCTGCAAACGGAGCTAGCTATGGCCCAGACGGAGATATCTCGTCTGCGCACTATCACGGGCACGCCCTCGGGCCTCGCCCACACGCCTCACGGCCACCCCCACGCGCACACACACCCGCACGCGGCCGCCTCCGCTGCTGACATGATGACGGCCTCCTTCCTCCCTGTCAGCGCCGCTGCTGCCGCCTCCGCTGCTGCTGCTGCTGCGTCGGGCCATGCAGGCATGCTGGGCGGACCTTACAATGGGAACGGGGCGCTCTTGAGTCAGGCATATGCGAGCAACGGCCTCATCAAACCCGAACTTGACACATGTAAGCCCATTTGGCTTGTCTCACAAACTCGTTTTCCGCTCACGCTTTGCCTCCTCGTGTCCAGTTGGTTTTACAGTGCTGCATTGCTCTGATCAGCAGGATGCGACTTGAGCACCTGTGTCATCAGGCCCAGCAATAGTAACCCCACCCCTATCTCCCATCTTTTCACCCCTTTCCTCTTGTCCCCTCCAGTCGCAGGCGCCAGCATGGCAGCAGCTGCCGCTGCTGCAGGGCTAGGAGGAGCTAGCAGTGCAACAGCAGCCAACGGCCTGGGCCCTGCCGCTGCTGCTGCGGCTGCTGCGGGCATGGGGTCTGTTTCCATGGCAATCCCTGGCCTGCGCGGTCCTGAAGGCCCCTCGCCTGCATCGCTGAGCATGCTGATGCAGCCGCCTGGGCTCATGAACGCCTCTCGCCTCTACGCCCTGCCGCCTCAGCCAGGCGCAGCGGGCCCATCGGCAGGGATGCCGCCGCACCTGCAGTTCCGGCCACTGGATGGCATGGCGCCCATGGAGCTCAGGGGCAGCACACACGACCTGACAGCAGCTCATATGAGCATGCTGGGAGGTGTGTTCATGCCATCACCCCCAGCCGGCATGTCTCTGCCCAATGGGGCTCTCAATGGCATGGGTGGGGGCAGCCATATGCCTCGCAGCATGGACTTCAGGGATGGGGCGTCCGTTGGGATGGGGGAGCCAGATATGGTGGATGGGAACATGGGGTGTATAGAGCACTACAATGATATGGCAGCTGCTGTTGGCGCTGCACACACTGCAGTGGCCATGTCACGATGAGGTGCCAATCTCTGGTAGCAGTAGCACTAGCACTAGCAGTAGCAGCTACTGGCACAGATGCTCCTTGGGCGTTGAACTCCTGCCATTGTGCGTTGTCTGCCTTGCGGGGTCTCGGCCAAATCATGCTGAGTATCCTACCATGCTGTTGCACAGCTCTATATCATTATCAACTGTTGCTGGCCCGAGGCATTGAATTCCCGTAGTGCACTTCTCTCACTGATGGACTAGCTGCCTGGCCTGTACAACTGGATATTATTGTCATGATTTAGCTGTGGTCAACACGTGATCTTGTGACATTCGCTACTTGTTTAATGATGACTGTTCACACTTGGTGGTATTGCAAGCTGCTATTACAGAAGGGAGCAACAAACCCCTACTTCAAATGAAGTAGGTAGAGCGGCCCCACAGTCAACCTACCTTGAGCATCCTATCTTACCCACTCCAAAAGCGGCCACACCATAACTCCATGGCACATCAGTAGGTAGCTATTGCAAGCCTTTTCAAACGACAAGGTTGGCGGTTGCGCTGGCCCCGCCACCACCATCTGAGCCATTGGCAGGTGCACCGGGGGCAGCATAGACATCAGGAGGAAACCAAGATCAGCAGCAGGGGGAGGGAATGAAGCACATCTCAATGACATTGGAAATTCGCAAGACCAAAACTTCAATGCGTTCGAGAAGAGGCACTAACCGAATTTGGTGAATGGTGTGGGGTTCTGCTTTCGCTTAATGACAAAGAAGACGCCACCGCCAACCAGCACCACCCCCAGCAGCACTCCCAGAACGATGGCAGCAATGCTGCCAGCGGACAGGCCTGCAACGGGAGCGAGATCAGGGGCAGCATGGGGGGACAGCAGCCGGCGGATCAAGGTGGGGCGGAGGTGCAATGCAGTGAGTGGGTGGTGGTTGCCTGGGCATAGAGAATTCCCATACAGGGTAAAGTGATGCTGCTTGTGCTGGCTCATCAGCTGATGGCAGTCAACAGGACCAGGAAAAAGAGAACTCCCATACAGAGTGAAGTGCCTGTTAACTAGAGAGGCGCAATGATTGAGGTACAGGAGATCGGGTTGGTTGGAAGGGGGAGAAGAGCAGGTGGGGAGGGGGTGGGGGGGGGGGGGAGTGAGTGAAACATCTCAATGCATCGCATGCTCACCACTGCTGGTGGACGGAGGCGGTGGAGGGGGGGCCAACACGTGCGCCTGCTCCGCAGTCAGCGTCATGGATGAACCAGCGGTGGGCGCGGCAGTGCCGCCATCAGGTGTGGACGGGGCGAGCCGGATGGCTTCGTACACCTCCATGGCGCTGATGACGGCGGGCAGGCTCTTGTTGCTGGCGTGCAGCTGCACGAACACCTTCTGGAAGTACGACATGGGGGTCTGCAGCTGCACCACGTGCATCAGCGCCAGTGCTGTCAGCGGCGTCGTCTCGTTCACAATGTCCACCACTTCCGGCTGCAGCCCCATGGCCATGCGCTGCCCGTCGCCCCAGAACAGCTGCACGTCCATCACGCGCTGCCCACGCTTCACGGCGGGGTTGGGCTCGACGAAGTTGAGCACGACGACGAAGAGGTTGGACGGGTCCATGGGCACCACCATGCCCGAGTACTGCATCTCCGTGCCCGCCTGCGCCTTCTCCAAGTCGATCGACTCGCGGTACGTCTGCAGCACGGCCTGCGGCCAGTAGTCGTCGGGGGCGCCTGTGTCCTTCACCGTGGCGTTCGTCGCGCGGAAGCTCCGCGGCAGGTACGAGCGGTCGTCGCCATCCCACACGCGCCCCGCCAGGTCCGGCCCCACGGTGGGCCCGCCGATGTTCACGCGCATGGCGTTTGCGAGGATCACGCCGGCGCTCTCGGGCGCGCCCCCGTACACGGTGCTCGGGGTGGGGAAGACTTCGAGCGTGTTGAGCAGGGGAGTGCGCGACTGCGCGGCGGAGGGGTACGCGAGCACCAGGTCGAGCTCGTTGACGAAGCCGGAGGTGGGCAGGAAGGCGGAGGAGAAGGGCACGAGGCAGATGTCCAGGAACCCCGTGCTCGTGAACGCGATGAAGTCGCGGTAGTGCGCCGTGGCCATGCGCGCCGTGTCGTTGTTCTGCAGCAGTTCCGCGACGAGCAGGTTGACGGTGAGCACGGGCACGCCCTGCGCCGTCACGTTGAACACGGGCGGGTTGGCCTGCTGGTCGAAGTCCAGGTACGCGAAGCCCAGGCGCACCAAGTAAGTGCCGTTGGCGCGCGGGATCTTATAGCACCCGCCGCTGCTGTTCGAGAACGCGCGCCCCGTCGTCTCCGCGGACGAGAGGTTCGCGGTGAGATTGGCGGAGTTAAGCGAGCCCGCGGCGATGGTGAAGGGCGTGCCGTCCGACGTGTACTGGTCCGCCGTGAATCCCGCCGCCGCTGCCACGCCGCTCTCCACCGCGCTGCCGCAGTCGATGCGCAGCGGCCCTGCAAGTATTGGGTGAACGTCACGGGAGGTGGTAGCACACACAGCGGGTGGGGAAGGGACTGACACGAGAGACCTGCCGCAGTGCCCGCACCCCCACCATCCTATCTCCCTTCTGCCTATGTCCGAGTTCTGGCCTTCGATGTCTTGTGTTTTAAGTGCGAAGTTTCTACTGAAGCCGATTCAACAGGGGCGCCGACTCTTCGCGGCGACCGCGTATGGTGGACAGTCGACGCAAGAAGGGGGACAAGTGCTTCGTACCACTGTCGTCGGCTCCCGCGGCGAGCAGGAGAGAGGCGGCGATGCCCAGGAGGCCCAGAGTACTCGCGCCACGTAGCCATGGCCACGCTCGCCTGGGGAGAGCCATTGCGGTAGCCACAGGGGGTTCGCCTCGCGCCGCCACTCGCCTGTTGGGGCAAACGGAGGAGAGAGATGCGTGGCAGTGGTTCAACGGTACAGCTGCTGACTAGGATTCCGGACTTGCTTGGCTGCGAGGTAGCACTCCTGGGGATCCTCCAAGTACGGATGGAAGGGATTAGGGAGGGGGTACATAAGAGGGCATTCCTATCCAGAAACAAGGGGCGCTGGCTCAAGATGACACACTGCTCAAAGTGACCTCCCATGAGCGGAGGATTTGGTGCGGTGTAGAGTGGTGATGTGAAGTGCACGACAACAAATGTGTTTTGCTCCACAAAGAGGGAGGGGCGCCCTCCGAGGGGGTGAGCTTCTCCCTCAATTCGCAAATTCGATTGACCGACTTGCCCAGAGGTGGCGCTGGCCAGGGGAAAGGAGCCAGCCCCAATTCTTCGCTACACCGAGTCTTGCACCGACGTGGCGCAATTGAATGGCTTGGTGCCTGCCATCACTCGGGGGCCGTTCGCCGGCCAATTTTACAGGGGCCGTTCGCTGGCCAATTTTTCACCGGCACGGCGAGGGAAATCAGGCATGGGGAACATCGATCGAGGCTTCGTGAGTTCGCCGAACCAAATTTGCGAAACGTGACGTCAGCATGCGAAAACGTCGCGTCGGTTCGGTCTCCCCAAACCAATTGCCCCCAAATCGCGTGCTCCTTCTCATGCCAAGCCCGAAGCGCGGCCATCAGCCGCCCAGAGCTGCCAGGCAAACTCCGTGCCACACCTCATACTGCAAAATCGTGGTATGAGGCAGGCCAATATTGGCATGCCTCTTGGCTGGGCAGGTTTACGAACCCAAAAAAAAAACTGCAGCCACTTCCCCTTCAATCCTACCCGTCGATTTGCGCAATTGCACCAGCTCATACCCATCCAATCGGTCGCATTTTGAAATGTTAAAAAAATGGGCAATTTTGACAAAATTGTGTGAATCGCATTTTCTCCCTTAGATTTTCCACGAAAGTGCGATGGGCTAAGAGGGCTTTTGATGGGCCCCACTCTTCACTGTCCGCGAGTTTGTCTTATCCAGTCCTGCAGTCTTGACCGACGTAATCATGAGCCGGCGACGTTATGATTACCAAAGTACGGGGGCACAAATTTTTTTTTTACGTAGGTTTGGCTGCGCAGATTCCGTGCGCGCGGGATATGGTCGCCCGTTCCCCTCCCCGTTCCCCTCGGAAAATTTCCAGCGAACGGCCCCACAGTGGCACGGAGAGGAAGGGCTGGCATGCAGAACATTAAACGAGGGTTCGTTGGGTCGCCAAAAGTTTAGTGAGACGAATGACGTCATTATGCGACGGGTTTGGTTTAGTTGGCGATTTCCAAACCTAGAACTCCCAAGTCGCGTGCCTCTTCCCGTTCCCCCCAAAAACGCACAAAATCCGTCGCCCAGAGCTCAGGGGCAAACTTAGTGCCATACCCCCCACACAACTAATACCACCAAGGTCGTGGTATTGAGCGGAGGGGTTTCGGCATGGCGCGCAGAGCTGGCCAGCGCACTCGCGTTTAATTGGGCAATTCGAATTTGAATGGTCGGGGATTTTTCTCGTGGAAGGTCCCCACATCTGAAAGGTGTCACTGCACATTGTAGGCAAATTTGTTTTACTCGTTTCTGCAAGCTTGACCATTGCCATAATTTAACTTGACTGCCTTGACTTGGGGTCCGCGCGGGCACAAATAAAATTATCAAATGCGTTCGGCCACGTAACTTCTGTTCGCCCGGGAGACTGTCGCCCATGCCGCTCCTCGTGCCCCTTCCCCTTCCCGTCAAAATTACCAGCGAACGGCCCCTCGGTGCAGAAACGGCGGGAGACAGTTCTGGAATCTGGAGAAAGGGTGGGCCCGTCATCATCATCATGTCACATCACTAGCGGTCGGCAAACTTGGTTGGGTGTGACCGTGAAACCGACAGGGGAAACGATCGGGAGGACTCGAGTTTGTTTGGGATGGTTGCTTTGCACTCCGCTGCTTGGTTGTCAGTGGTATACCTCCATCTCATGCGTAGGGCGTGTGTCCTCGTGTCCGAAGTTAGGCAAAATTCAGACAATTGCGAAAGTAACAGTTGTCGCCAATGTCGAAAGTCTTTTCGTAAGTTCGTTAGAAAACGTCGCCAAATATGAACATTTGGAGGACCCACACCGTTCGAATATGCAAATACGAACGGTCAGCAGGTGTCCATTCGAACGGGCGCCACTTGCGCGACAAATTTCGGGCAGCGGAATTCCACGAAATCCAGATCAAGCTCGGCAGGCCGTGCGACTCGGAATTAAGCGTCGCATATACCCGATCTCGCAAGCAGTGGAGGGGCTCCAATTTGATCGGGGGCTCCCAGCAGCCTCGGGAGGTGATGAATGGGTACGAACGGGGGTTGGTTGAGACTCTGCGACACTCGTGAAGTTTGCGAGGTGCGTTCTGTCACCCAAAGCCGCCGTAATTCGAATTTCGATACTTCGAACGCGGGCCATGGGGGTCCATGATGCAATCACCGTATCCAAAGCAGGGCTTATGTTAGGTTTTTGAGCAGCTCTGGCGCTCAGGGCTCCCTTCGAATTTCGCCCTGAAAAACCAGGGTCTGAGCATGCACTGCCCTGATTTTTCAGGGCCGGCCGAAGAAATGCACGGAGGGCGCACTTTTCCAAGGATTATAATTTTAGGTTGATCCACGCTCCGCGGCTCATCGGAGTCACATGTGTTATACTCCTTCCCAACTAGTAACCTGGTAGCCGGGTCCTAGGAAGAGTGACGGGTGTTAGGAGATTCGGAGAAACTTGTATTCTAGCGGGGGGCATCGGGAAGGGGAGGGTGTGGGTAGTGGCAAAAATCAGGATCGCCAAGAAATATAATTGGATTTTCCAGGGTTATCTTGAGATCCTCCCGGATTCTGTTAGGGCTGGGAAAAAATAATCCGAAAACAATAAGGGCTGGTCGAAAAACTACCTTAGAATTTCAGTCAAGTCAGGAAAAATGCCCTGATAACATATGCGCTGATCCGAAGCCGTGTTTGCGGTGTTGTACGAATATCGCAGCATGCTGTTCATACACTTCGGAAATTCGAAATCGTTCGAATTTTAACCAATCTCGGCCAAGGACACACGCCCTTACAGTGAACACTGCCAGCCAGGTCTACACAAAGTGTGGGGGGAATTTGACGGACGGACGACGTGTGAGGTGACCACTGACCTGGACATGTCGTGATTCGCCAAGCAGCGGTTGATGTCGTCTGGCATACAGTATCGCAAAAACGAAAACAGAGTTACCTTCACTGTCATCACATCCATGGAGTGCCTCCTAGAAATGATCATAAGTGGAATGCACAACCCTCTATGCAGACTTTCTAACTCCAATTCACCTACCGTATCCACCCGTATAGAGGACCCTAGGGGAGTGTAGGGCGAACAACTTTTTTTGGGGGTGGTGCATTTAACCAAAATTTAAAATATAAGCCCCGAGGCTTTTACGAAAATCCAACTTAACATATTTTAGACAAAAATTAGTGTAATTTTCAAGTCCTTAGCGCATTTCGATGTTCAATGTAATGGAGGATCGCAAAAATTTGAAGGGTGGGGCCTATAATCAATTTTTGTCTATAGGCCCCATCTTTCGATCAAATGACCCAGTGTCCCAATCCCATGGCGAGGCACTTGTCAGGGTGAATACGGTACCTCACAAAGGCTAGTACACGATGCTAGGGTGGACATGTTTCTTCGGTTTGTTTTGTTTTGTTTTTTCTGTTTTTTATTTTTTTCAAGCCAATCAAGATTGGAGAAGTGAACTTCATGAACAAAATGAGCATAATACCAATGATCAGGATGATCATCATTATGAACAATACAATGTAGCTTTCCTCTTCGAACAAGATGAGCTAATAATGTATGGCTAGATTTGTGAAAACTACCATATAACACAATACAATAGACATGTTACGACCATGTTTGCCTTGATTCCCAGAAACCTTTAAACCAACAATTTATTATAAAATTCTACTATTAACATTTTTTGTTATGTACACTTTTATCTTCCCTCTATTCCCTCCTTTATGGCACGTATATGTTTATATTAGCATATCATAGTGCTGAAGTGAAAGAAAATGACTAGAACAATGACATACAATGGAATATAACCTAATGGGTTGTACTCCCTACAGCACAACCATGTATAGTCTATAACAATATACAATGATATATTTGATACACCTTCTAGATTGGATAGAGGCAGTGCTTGGTGAGAAAGAAGCATCTCAGGGTGGCACTACTAGTCCAACCTCTGAGGCAGGGGTCCAAAGACCAGTCAAACGAGTACAGACAAGGCAAGAGCAAGACCAGGGCGGCACTACTAGTACAGCCACTGGAACAAGAGCCACAAGGCCAGTCAGGGTAATATATATGAAGGTCTGTACACAATCAAGGTCCTAGCAAGTGAGAGGCTACAGGAACGAAACCTAGCTGTACACAGTGCCGCTGATGATATTTAGGCGCAAGCGCCTTAGTAAAGATATCAGCTGTGTTGGCACCGGAGGCCAAGTGTACTACGCGGGCCTGGCGACGCTGCTGCAGCTCGCGCAGGAGGAAGTACCACAGATGGATGTGCTTCGCTCTGCCCTCAAGTCGTGGCTCCCAATACAGGAGAATCATGGCCCTGTTCTCAGCGAACAAGACCGGGGCAGAGCTAGGCCGCTCACCCAGGTCAGTGAGCAAGAAGGTCAACCAGCGGAGCTCCAGTGCCGCCGTGGCACCTGCTCCAGAGCCAGCGTAGATCTCAGCCTTACAGCTAGACTGGGCAATAGACGAGGAGCGGGTGGACCTCCACGAGATGGCACTTGTACCAAGGCTAAAACAGTAGCTCTGTGAGGACCTGAGAGTCTCGGCGTCGTCTGCCCAAGAAGCGTCTGTGTGCCCGGTAAGGACCACTGGTCTACGTCCTCATACCTTTAGCCCCATGCCCGATGTACTTGCTAGATAGCGCAAAACCCTCTTAGCTGCCGACCAGTGCTGTGGTCGGTGTCTGCCGATGGCCACAAAGCGAGCCAGGATGCTGAGAGGGTATGCGAGATCTGGAGGAGTACAAGTCATCTGGTACATGAGGCAACCCACTAGCTCTGCGTAAGGACCACTAGGCTCTACAGCCTCCTCCGGCACTGGAGCAGAGAGTCTGTGGT